GGCCCTGAGGCGGGGGCGGGTGGTGGCCCGGCCCCCGCCGAGGGCCTGACCCGGGACCGCGCCGCGGGGGCAGCTGTGAAACGATCCAGTGAGTCGCCTCGATCTGCTCGTGGGGAGCCTGGAGCCGCCACAGCAGGGCCCTGCAGTCCTGGCCCCGGCTGTCCTCGGGCTGCTCGGGGTGTGCATGGCGGTGCCGGGTTCCTTCAGGCGGGTGATCACCGCGGCGCTCGCCCCCGAGTCACCGATGCCAGCGGATGTCGGGCAGAAAGTTCTGAGCCTCGGGGGCTGGGGCTCAGGCCAGGGATTTGGAGGCCAGGAGATGTGAGGACTGGAGCTAAAGTAGGTGCAGTGCCTGGGGCTTGGGAGACAGCAGGTGAGAGGGTGGAGGCGGGGAGAGAAAGTGAGGAGGTGATGGGGAGCAGAAGCTGAGGCAGAGCAAGGGAGAACCTTCTGTTCCTGACAAGAGGAGCGGTGGCTCAGGGTTTAGCTCCTCTCCCCTCTGGCATGCTCCTGTGTCCCAGCAGCTCGGTTTGCATTCTCTCTTGGTCAGCTAGGTACTGACAATAGATGCACGTAACCATGGCGAAAGCCCTCACAGCCCCATCATGACCTACGAAGCAATGAGCTTGGATGTCCAGCACCTCCTGAGCCAGCTGCACATCAGCAAGTGCATCCTGATTGGGCACAGCATGGGCGGCAAAACAGCCATGACACTGGCACTGCAGAGGGTAGGTGTGTGCAGCTGCCCAAGCAGCAGAACTTGATGCTTGTGGCCAGCTCAGACTACAACTGTTGATGCTTCTCTTCCCCCTGACGTGCAGGCCTTTTCTCCCTGGGCATGGATTGGTCCATGGACTCTTCTTCTCTGTCTCAGGAAGGCAGAGGCAGGCACTCTAGTGACTTCAGAGCCACTGTTTTTCTGTCAGAATGAACAGCACCAGGTTTAAACTATCTAGGCAGTGACTTTTGATGGTACCCTTGCCCTTTGTCCCTCAGGTAGTGGCAAGTCCCTTACCCTTGACTTGCAGTCAACACCACTCTGTATAACTGGATCTCCCTGGGCTAGTCTTCCAGTGCACTTCCGGTGTGAAAGGAATAACTCCTGGCCCTGAAAGGGAAGCTGAGGCCCCCATGGACCTTATTCTTTTTGTATTGTACCTTGTTCTTCCCCAGAGGTGACTGCATTTCAGAAGTAGTTAACAGTCCCTGCTTGGCATACTAAACAGAACTTCGGGGCTGTCATTTGTGGGGGGTACATGGAAACATACTTTTAATGTGTTCAGATTTTGGGGCTGTCCCTGTCTCCTCTGATTCTTTTCCTTGAATAAGCTATAAAGCAGGGGTGGGCAAAATGGTGGATCCAGCCAGTGGCCAGATTCCATTTCCAAGCAGCCCCTGCCATGCAGCTCCCAGCTGGTCTCCATAGAGACCCCGGGGTGAGGGGCTGCAGAACCAGGACTCGGCCCCAGCCCCTTGCTGTCACAGCCCTGTGCTCCCAGGGTCTCTATGGAGACCGGCAGGAGCCACGTGGGCAGGGCGCATGGCTGGGCAGTGACAGCACAGGGCCAGAGATGGAGCAGAGTCATGATCCGCTCCCTGCATGCCCCTACCTGAGGAACCCAGGGTCATCGCAGAGGCATGCATGCAGCAGGACACGGCTGTGCCCCAGTCTCGCCACATGCTGTCACCACCCCAAGGTCCTGGGGTCTCCCTGGCCCTGCCCACCTGCCATGCTCCTGGCTACAGCCCCATCCCAATAGCCTGGCTGTGCACCCTGTGCCCATGTGGGTCCCGCCCCCAGCAGTGGGCGCAGGGTGGATGGCCTGGAGTGTCTGGGCAGCAGGATTGGGCCTGGTAGCAGCAACCAAAAGGATCTGCTGTTGCAGAGACTGCTGGGAAATAGTCTGTCACGGCCTGGACTTTGCCCACTCCTGCTATAACGTCTCTGCTGGGAATGGTCGTGAGTTAAGGCTAGAAGATGATCAGTGAAAGCTCCTCCCCAGGACTGTCCCATCCCTTGGGCCTACCTATGAGGGAGCCTATCCAGTTGTTTTTTACTCTCCTGTTCCAGAGCAAGGTCTCCAGCAGGAGCAGAGTCCCTGACCTCACAGTCCCAAGTGACTCCTTTGTGTCCCCAGCCAGATCTAGTGGAGCGCCTGGTATCTGTTGACATTAGTCCCACCCCAACGGGGCCTGTCACAAGCTTCCCTGCCTACATCTCTGCCATGAAAAGCATGAGCCTCCCACGTGGGATCCCCCGCTCCACTGCACGCAGGCTAGCTGAAGATCAGCTGCGTTCGGTCATCCAGGTGAGACAGCTTACAAGAAACCCCTAACTTGTCTCCTCCCTTTCCCTGGCCAACATGTGCCTTCCTCTCAGCAAAGCTTGCACCAGCCATTGTGAACATTGCCAGTGTCCATGGCTGGCCTACTGTGGAACCTGGCTGTAGGGTAGGGCTGTAGGTCACTCAGGGCTGAGGTGCAAGAGTCTGGGGTCCCAAGGCAAAACCCTGGCTGACAGGTATGTGGTATGCTCTGCCTTTCCCACAGGTACCAGCTGTGAGACAGTTCCTGCTTACTAATCTGGTGGAGGTTGAGGGCTACTACATGTGGCGGCTGAACTTGGAGGCCATTTCCCATCACCTCCCTGATATTATCACATTCCCAACCTTCCAGTCGTATTACCCGGGACCCACTCTCTTCCTGAGAGGCTCCAAGTCCCCCTATGTCAGGTGAGTCTGGAGAGCACCCATGGCATTGATCCTCACAGTTTGTCTCATTTAGCTTTAAAGCTCTATGGACAAGAACAGGAAAGAGCTCAGTGCTCTGTGTCTATGCCAGGGGCAGGAGTCATCTTAGTGAGCTGTGGACTTCCCTGATTTGGGGTTGATGCAGGAGAAACCCAGGGATTGAGCCTCGGTTCCCTTGATGCAGGGGGAGGGAGAGGAGTGTAGAAATGTTCCAAAGCCAGATCAGGGCTGCCTGGGCAAAGGGGAGGACTGGGCAGGGATGCAAGAGTGAGCCCTGAGCTCTGTGGTGTGTGTCAGGGTGGGGGCGGGGGGTAGAATGGGGGAAACCCTAGGAGAGGAGTGTTCTTTATATAAGCAAGGGAAAAGCTGGAGAAAATCCTAGTGAGAGCCTCATCTCACCAGTGTGTTCTCTTGCCCCAGTGACACGGACTCCTCGGAGATTGAGCGGCTCTTTCCCAAGGCCAAGGTCCAGTGTATTGCAGGTGCTGACCACTGGGTCCATGCAGATAGACCACAGGAGTTCGTTGCTGCCATCTCCAACTTCCTGCTGCTGCCATAAAACCTGGAGACAGAGATCGGGATTGCTGCACATGGCTGATCCTGGAGCACCACATCAGGGATGTCCAGTACTCTGGAGGATGGACCCCAACCATAGGTGGATTAATGCACGGGCAAGCTGGGTCTGGTCCCAGGGGCCCCTGCCTCCACATGGACAAAACTGGTGGCTGGGCTGGGCTCTGTGTGTGCAATGTGGCAGGCCATAGCTGCTGGATGCGGTTTGTCAGGCACTGCTGCAGCTGGAGTGAGCTTCAGCAGGGTGGGGGGCTGCTGCTGGAGCTTAGTCTGCACCGCACGCACCCGACAGGCAGAGGCTCTGAACCCTGGTGCCACCTCCAGTGCAGACCTGCATGTGGGGGCAGCCACAGCTCCTGCCCTGGGCCTTAAGGGCAGTGCGTCCCGCTCCAGGTGCTGCTCCTGCTGTACCGGCCAGGGACGGAGCCTGCAGCTGAGGGCTCAGTTTGGGGGGGGCCTAGGCTTGGTGCCCCAATTAATCTTAATCTGCCTCAGACTGAGACAGGATTCCCCACCACTACCACATGCCATGGCAGACCAAGGCTGATGGGGCAGGAGGCTTGGGCCTGGCTTTTAATGGCTCTCTGGCTGGCCACAGCATGTGGGCAGGGCTGCAGTATCAGGTCAGGACTACTCAGCTGGAGGTGTTTTGCACTTGATGTTCTTCACAGGGTGCTAGAGCAGAGCCTTGGGGCTGAATTTTTTCAAGAAATAGTGTACCCCTTGGAGGTGTTGGTGCCATTGTTCCTGTCCCATAGTGGGCACTGGTCTGGAATTGCTCTGCTACCACCCCTTTCAATCCTTATCCAGCTGCTTTCTGGCACCTATGGAGCCTGCATGGGCCACCTCTCAGGGTCTCTGGGTGGGGAAGAAGATGCAGAAATCCAGTCTTACTAGAGTTCCTCACTGATACCCAGCCCTGCTGAGGGCTCCCATCCCTACCCCAAAGCTGAGCCCAGGACTTTCTCTGCTCTGGCACTGCCTGTCTATGTACCCACTTGCCACTATACAGTACTTAAAATAAAGCTGACTCTGCACTGGCCTTCTCTCAGAAGTCAGAGGAGACCAGCAGTGAGCTTGAGACTGTGGTCTTTTCTCAGCCAGAAGAGTTTAAAGATGATGGGATGCTGAGGAAATTCAACACCAGATAGAAAAGTGAGCTGGGGAGAGCAGGGGTGATCCTGGTAACCAGGGAAGAAAAGCTGAAGCCCAATGGGTGCAAAGCCTGCAATGGAGGAGTGGCAGAGAAGCTAAGGGCTGACCCAGTGATCAGCCTTCTGAAAGATGGCTGCTATAGTGCTTCATTTAGAGCCCACTGACTTTGCAGCTTGCTCATTAGGGCACTCAGTTGGGAGAGGGGGTCCTTGATTTGGTCCCTGCTCCCTGGACCTCTTAGCATTTCACTTTAATCAGTTATGAGACAAAATGCAGAAACAGTCTAGGGAGTAGGGACCAGGACTAGAGAATGGCCTGATTCCTGGGCTGACAAGTCATGTTCACTCTGTACCTCACTCTCTATGGCCCTTGCCGCATCCTTTGCTGTACCCTGGCCTCAACTCCTTGCCTACCACTTACCCAGGTGAACAGGGCATTCTCTTCAGAGGTGCAAGATGGGGCTTGAATCCCCACAGCTGCAGTGGGCCTAGCACCCAGATCTCCCACCTCTTGGGTAAGGTCCATGGAGTAAAGCAAGGGTCTCAGACTTACCCAGCCCTCCCCCCGTGACAGCCATGGTGCCCCCTAATGGCTGCACTAATACTCCATGTACTGCCTCAGTCTTTCCTGCCATGCTTTAATGGAAATGTTTATTATGGTGGGAGGCTGCCCAAGAGCCTTGGAGCAATCTCATCAGTGCTACCCTAACCCTAACTTGATTCACTTAGCCAACCCCCCGCCCTCCCAGTCCACTACCAAAGACCTATCCTAAACCCTAATGACACTTATTGGACACCACTTGTGCCCCCACAGGCCCTACCCTTACCTCAAGGTATTAACTATGCCTTAGGGGTGGTATTTGTGGTCTCCAGCTGCTCCCATAGCCACGCTCATGCCTCACAGGTGTCAATCACCATTTTCATGGGGCTTCTTGACCCCGTCCATATATTCTGCCCCTCGGGCTGTAATCTCTATCTGAGCTTCAGCCTCTACAGTGTTGTCCCCTTTCCTCTTGCTGAGGTCTTCAGCCCTGGCCCATCATTTTGAGCTTTGGCTCCCCAGCTTCAACCCTCCTGCATTACTGCCTGCAGGGCTCAAAGCACAGAGCACCCCAGGCACCCTGATGAACAGCCTCCAACCACCCCGTAGCCACAGTCTGGTCAAAACATGACAGTCTGGTCAGCCCTGGTCTGGGTCTCTATCCCACAGCCCTTCCCACTCCCCTCTTGGCTGTCTCCTTCCAGCTCTCCAGAGTAGTCTGGGTGCCTGCTGCCTCACTCCCCACCAGAGCTCCTCTTCTTGCAGAGGAGCTGAGGCCTGACCCTCCCTTTGGATCAGCCATTCAGGAAGGGGAGGAGAGGCCAGGCTTGCTTTCACTTCTGAACTTGGTGGATTCACTCTGAAGTTACTAAAACCTGCAGAACCCTTACCAGCATCTTGTGGGGCACCTTTTGGGCCTGAAGAACCATGGCAGGTGTGTGAAAGCAGTGTAGACCATCCCCAGCAGCTCTGCTACTCCCAAGTTACATGTGGGAGAGGGAGGGAAGGGGGTGCCTCTGTCTCCTGCTTTGCATCAAAGCCCTTGAAATGTGCTCCTTTTCTTTTGCCTTGCACCTCCCTATCCTGTGCTGGGAGATGAGGGAACAGGGGCTGTCTCCCTCCCAGCTGCACACACAAATGACTCCGGGTAGGGAGTGACCAGGGAAGGTTTATCATCTTGTGCTCTCCCCAGCTCAGGGGCAAGGGCCCTCTCAGAACCTTCCTGCTGCTGGCAAGATGCTGCAGAGCTGGGTTAAAGTAAAGTGCTGCCTGTTCTGGGCATGCACAGGGCTTGGCACAGGAATGCGCCAAGTTAAAAGTAAAGTGCCAGTTTTTCATTCTGGATTTTTTTGGGTTTTTTTACATCTGCAAGCATCCACAAGCAAAAAATAAAGTCTGATAAGAGCAGGCCTGGGAGGGGAAAGCACAAGATGATAAACCTTCCCTGCTCACTCCCCACCCTGATCCTTTTGTGTGTGCCAGGCAGGGTAGGAGAATTTGAAAATGATTTGCCTAACTTGACCTGCAATATGAAAAAGTTTCCAAAAAAAAAAAAATGTAATGATCAGGTGCTTCATCAGGGCTTTTTTGGCATTATTATCTAATAACTGATTGAATCAGCTTCAGCTAAAAGCACCAAAAGGCCTGCTTAAGCGCCCAATATTTACAGATGCTGCAGAGCCAGGTCAAAGTAACACCTGCTCCTTCTGTTAAAGCTTGGGGTTTTTTGTTTTTTTGTAACTGTCTGCAAGCCTGGCTCCGTGGGTGCTCAACACTCACTAGTATTTTTGGGTGAATACTTGAGACCTGGGGCACCTGCAGAGTTGGCACCTATATGCACCTTTCATCACCTGCAGCCTGGCCTAGTACTGCTGCACAGTAAAGCAGCCCATCCCTAGCAGCCCCTTCCCTGCATACACCTGCCTCCTGCCCCCACAGACACACATGTTCCCTATGCCAGTGGCAGCTCCAAGGGCAGGACCAGGGCAGCAGTGTGTGGCAGGAATCTCCGCCCTAAGGGCAGCTTCTCCTCTCAGTGTATGAAGCCCTGCGGAGCCAGGGCTGGGGCTCTTGCCAGCAGTGGGAAGCTTCTGCAAGGGCCCTTGCCCTTGAGCTGGGTGTCACGTGGCCCAAGCTGCCAGCCTCCAGTTTGAGGTTGTGGGAGCAGGAGTGCACCGGCCAGAGGAGGGTGCTGGGGGAAATGCTGACATTTGGCTGGGACAGTGGTGGGGGAGCACAATGCTGAGGTGGCATGGGGTAGGTATGGAGCTGGGAGAGCAGGGCTGATGCTGGAAAGCTTGTGGTGTTTCCGTCCTAGCAAAGCACTGAGAGTGCAGGGGTGGCCCCAGCTAACCCCGTCAGGGGGCCTAGGACAGCTTCACGCAGCTCAGAATACAGCAGCATGGAGGAGCTGCCTTGGCCCAGTACAGGGGCTCTGCCAGGCATGGCACAGCCATGGTGCAGGTGCACACATGCCAGGTGGGCTGGGGCATGGAATGAGACGACATCAGGTGGTCACCGTGACTGCTCCCACAGATAAGAAGTTAAAGGAAGTGCGGACGATGTTTGTGGAGAGAGTTAGTGATGGCGTGATTGCCCCCGTCCTGGACGACCTGCAGGACAAACGGGTACTGAACCATGATGAAGCAGAGAATGTGCGGGCAGAGAGGAGGAGGGCCGAACAAGCCAGGTACCTGATCGATGTGGTGATGAGGAAGGGTCTTAAAGCCAGCACCATATTCATCCAGTGCCTCCATGACAGAGACCCCTTACTGGCTACAGAACTAGGGCTGGATGCCTCCTCTGGTAAGTGGCACCACCGGGACTGGGCTGCTAGGCAGTCTCTGGGGGGCTGCATGCACAGGATGCCTGTGTGGGACCCACCTGGGGCAGCAAAAGGGCAAAAGCCTCCAGCACAGAGACTAGTTACAGGCTATGAAACAAGGACTAGATGCCTCCCTTAGTAGGTGGCACCACTGGGACTGGGCTTCTAGTCAGTGCTGTGGATGTCTTCTTCTGCGCAAGAACTCCCTGCCTGCAGCTCCTGACTGAGTAGCCAGAAGTGCTGAGTAGCATGGGGTCTGGGATGAGAAACAGTGCCAAAGATTCTCATGAACTCTGGGCTCTGGAGTGCTGCTAGGGTGCCATTTATTGCTGCCCCAGTCTGCACCACTATTTTACTGGAGCCCTGGCCAGAAACCTGCTAAAGGCCAATACTTGTGGACTGAATTTGCTCCCACAGGTGAATTGGGTGGGGGGGAAAGGGGCGCCTTCTCCTGAAGCAGGTATGCTTCTGAAACCGCTGAGCTTGCCTGTCTGGTGTTGTCCCTCTAATGATACTGGGTGTCCATTTTTTCAGACGTTCCATGAATCACAATGATGTCACTGCTCTGCTCTGGATTTATGCTTTGGCAGATCCCTGCATGCATTTGCTGCTCCTCCCCAAACAAGAGGCTGTGACCATCAGCCACAGTAAACATACCCCAGGACAGATTTCATCTTCTCTGACTAGAGGAAAGGATGTTTCTTCTGAGAATGGATCAGAAATGCAGACCCTTTTCTAGGTCCAATTCTTTTATGTTACCCTAATTCCTCGGTACTCAGGACCACACTCTGTTCAGTATATTGGGAGATGATCACATTTGACACCTGAGTCCAATTTTATGCACAATAGCTGTAAAAGAACTTGGCCCTTGCTGTTTATCGCAGTTTCTAAAATGGTTCCATCAGTGTGTATATGTCCTTACAATGAGCCACTCTTTTCTTGCTCTCTATCGCTCTGCCCTTTCACCAAGTCATGAAGACTATGTAATCAATGATTTCCCCACATCACTGATGTGCAGTAATTTTCCTGTGACAATAATAAGCGTGAAGCAAAAGTAATTTGTGCTGATTATGCAGCGGATGTCTCCTGCCAGTGAGTTTTGTTAAGGATGGAGGAGTTCTGCCACGGGAAAAGACAGAACCTCTGCTGCCTGAGTGATTGAAAACCGGTGAAGGCCGAGAGTAGACTAGGCACTCACCTGGAGGTGGGAGACCTGAGTTCTGGTTCTGGCTTTCGGGTCTCTTTCTCTACTGCCCATTAAACAGCGGTTTGCTCAAGGCTCTCCTGCACTGGGTGGAGAAGGAGATAGCCTGCTGTGACCCAGGGGGCTCCATCAGCAGAGCAGAGCAGCGATGCTCCAGCAATGTGGATCTTGTTGCAGTCATCCCTGCCATCCAAAATGTGGACTTGGATCCAAACCCTCCAACGGGCTTAAACCACGTGAGGATGAAAACACAATGTATTTGGGTCTTTGGGCTGGCTTTCTGGTGTCCAGGGTTACAGCTTCCTGCCCTTCTCTGCAAGGGCTGAAAATTCACTTTCTTTTAATGAAAGCGTAATTTTGCTCCATTCACAAGACACCAGGAGCTAAGGCTTGTGGGAAAATATATCATGGAGCATGCACAAACATGGCAAGACCTGATGACAACACAGTGTATTCTCTCGCCCTGAAGTACCCTGCACCTCCTCCCTGCCACAGGCTTCCAGGCCCCAGTGTTCATGGATACACAATGAACAGGTGAATTAGTTAAAGAAGGGTGCCTTGTTTACCAGCTTCAGGTTGCCCTGTCCCCTTTCCCTCCTGGATGCCCATGACAGTGATCAGGGACCAGGCTCAGAGCCACCCTCATCTGTGTATGTTCAGGACTTCAGCTTCCCTGTGCTCTGCCCATTGCTCAGCTCAGCGGCCCTTCCAAACAAGGCACTATTTCAGCTTAAGGCCCTTGTCCCCATCACTTTCACACACTTTTATTTTCCTAATAAAATACATTTCTATAGAGAGAGAGTTATATATACGTCCTCTAACACAAATTTTCCATCACACATCTTAACCCGCATTAAGAAGCCTGTGCACCCGTTACAATAAATCCACCCACTCCCCTGTGACCCTGCCTTCACACACACTTCAGGGGAGGGGACACTCACCAGACCGGGGATGAGCAGGAGAGGGGGCAGCATGTATTACAGGCAGCTGTGAAGGGAAGGTGAGGGTTGTCTCGGGGAGGGGAGAACCCAGGCCCTTCTCTTGTTTCTCCTTCCGCTCAGCTGCTTTGCACAGCACCAGGCATCCAAGGACTTGCCCAGAATGAGGCAGCCTGGCACTGGGCACTTTCTGACAGAGCACAGCCCCGGGGCAGGGGAGCACAGGTGACTAGGTTGCACAGTGCTGGGACCAGGGGTGGGTGCCCAGCCACTCTCCACTGTGAACATCAGCTTCAGGTCCAAGGGATGGAGCCTGGGAGGAGGGGGCAGGGGCTATGTCCTCCCCTCTTTGCTGGGTGCTTCAGACTTGTGTCTTCCCCACCCTGGATGCTGCGGGCCCTGCACTCCCAACCGACATCCTGCTGGGCTGTAGTTTAGTCAGCGCATGCAAGAAGGGGAAGAGGCTAAAAGGGGCATGCAGCCCAGGTGCTGGGGGCAGAGGCTGCGAGGGGTGGGGAGAGGCTGGGGCAGGCATAACTCCCTGCCCAGTGCCTTGGATGAAGTCAGGAGGAATTTCCATGGGCTTGGCAAGTGGTTCCTTCGACAGTCCTGCACAGAAGCTAAAGCAAGGGTGTGCCACGTTTCTGCCTGTGGCAGAAAGGTGTGGCAAAGCAGGCAAAGAGCCCTGTCCAAAGGTCCCTTGGGAAGGCTATGAAGCTGATGGTGAAACTGCGTCCCGCTTTCTGTAAGCCCAACCCCCTGGTGCTCCTCAGCAGCTCCTTCCCCAGTATGGGAGGCAGGTGGCGGTAAAGGATCTGCAGTGAGGCCCTGTGTCCTGCAGTTATGCTGGCTTCACAACTCCCCTCCCAGTTGTGAAAGTTTGCAACTTGAGCAGGAAACTTTCCCCTTGCTTAAAGCAAGCCATGATTGGAAGTCTGGATCCTTCTTACGGTTCTTCTGGCATGCATGACTTTAGGCCTACATATTCCAGCTCTTCTCTGCACCTGCAATGGCTGAAAATTCACTCCCTCTTAAATAGAAGCTCGAATCCTGCTGCATTTGCCAGACTCGGGGGGCTGGGGCTTGCAAGACAGATGCGAATGTCACAGGAGCCGCCCTGGATTTAGTGACAATACAGCATGTTCTACCACCATGACATACCTCATGCCTCTTCCCTGCCACACTCACCCCCAGCCCAGGGATGGACACTGAATAGATGAGTACTTTTCCAAAAGGGTCTCTTGTCTGCGCACTCCAGGCTGTCCGGCCCAGGCCTAGACACCTGCGACGGTACTGCTGCTCTCGTCCCCACGTATTCCACACCACAGTGGCCTGTGCCCTGTGGCACAGCTCACCAGTCATCCCCCATGCCCAAGGGAAAAAAGTCACTGTTTCACCCCAGGGGCTTGCACTTCTCTCCTTTTGTGTCCACTGCAGGAGGAAGTAGCAACTGCAAGCAGCTGTGGGGGCATGGGCGACTTGGTGCCTCCTGTGTCTGGGGAGGGGGCCACACGCAGAAGCTGACAGCGGTGACAGGGACAGGGCTGGAGAGCACCCGCAGAAGCTGCCGGTGCTGGGAATGGGACTGGCAAGCACACACAGAAGCCGCCAGAAGCGACGGCGGGAGACAGCCTGTCGGGGGGGCACATGCCCCTGCTCCCCAGCCCTCCCTACTAGTTGCCTGTGTGGGGGGGGAAACACTGGAGACTCCCTGGGGGCTGTGCTGGGCAGGGAACAACTGGGTCCCTTCTCTCCTTCCCTATCAGCTCAGCTGGTTTGCACAAAGTGGCACAGCAGGGACCCATGCAGGTTGCGGCAGCCCTCCCCTGGGCACTGGCTGACAGAGCAGAGGCCTGGGGCAGGGCCCAGGAGGCAGGAGCCCAGGCTACAAAGTGCTGGGCCCAGAGTTATAAGGACTCGCTTCAACTCAGGGAAA